GGCGGTTAAATTGTTGATTATTATCTAAATTCGCGTATCGGAAATAGACGCCCATTCGTACTCCATTTATAAATGAAAAATTCTACAGCATGAAGGATTCATAAGAATGTAAATTCAGGTAACATGTTTTTAACTAAAGGCACATATTTTATGATATTAAAAAACAGTTATGCGGTAAACATAAACAATAGATAAAAGTGTTAGGCTATTCATTTTAAAAGTTCATTATATATAAGGCATCTGAAATCTGATTAATATATAATGTATATATAAATATAATATTTTGAACATTTTCTGTGTAGGTATCATGCCATTTAATCGAGGAATAAAACGTGATTCCTTTGGGAATCGGAACTTTAATAACCGAGGAGGAGGTGGTGCTGGAGGTGGTGGAGGAGGTGGCGGAAGAGTTGGAAACATGGGTGGAGGTGGAGGCGGTATGGGAGGCAATATGGGTGGTGGAATGGGTGGAGGAGGTGGAGGTGGTGGAAGTGGAGGAATGAATCCATGGGAAGGAGGAATGATGCCTGGTCGAGGGATTTTACCAACTCCAAATAATAATCTGTCTTTAGCATCACCCCAAGCACAGTTAGCGATAGCTAGTAACCTTCTCACAAATTTACTTCGTAATCAACAAGATGTACAGCAACAGGTAACATATTTATGTAGATAATATGTTAATTTATTTGTAATTATTATCATAAAGGATTATACATATAACTTTGCATTTACAGCAGGTACCATCACTCCTTAGTCTCGGCAATAATTTTTCCGGACCAGGGCCAAATTTTCCAAATCAGCAAAACTTTCAGTCTGGACGTTTTAACGATCGTCCTGTGAGGCACCCAATGAAGAATCAACGACCTCAACCATACAATAAGGTATGAATATATAACAATTATCATTTTATCATATAAACATCATTTTTAGTGCAAATTGCAAAAGGGCAACTTCTAGTGTACACTTTCTATTTTTACATCAACAACACCAATTCTTAAGCGGAAAATGTAATAATTCTCCTTCTTTATGTTCATTGATCGATTCATTAATGAGGCTTTCAGTCAGTGGATAAGTTGTTACAATGGTTACCCTGTGAAGTTAATGAGATACAAACAGTTTTGCCGTATATGATTTTCGTAGGAGAATTTAATTGCTATCGCAATGTTATTTCATTATAAAACACGGTAACAAGACGTGTATTGATTTCAGAATACAGTTTCTCATTTTTAGTAGTGGATGTTAACTGTGGTTTTGTGCAGTAAATTTTCAGCAAAGACAAGGAGATATGTTTCCCCTCTGACTTGGTTCATTTATATTCTATCCAAGTCCTTCTATTCATCATTGCAGTTGAAATCAATGGAAGACTATTTACTCAAAAATAGATTGCAAGTTGTATTTTTGACTGTTTTAATGTCTTCTTCTTGTTGATTATTTTTCATTGATCTTTATCGAACTATGTTCAAAGGAAAATACATGCGTTTTATAAATATCATATCTTATGATTCACATGATCGTTGCCTGTACAAGGTCAGATGATGCCATAATTATGTGCATCTTCAACTATCTATTACTATTTTCCTTTTCCCTTCCACGAAAATGTGGAAATACTGACCTTCAGTGTTCACTGAAATACTGATTACGTCCTGCTTCCAAATCGAGTAGAATATTTTTCTCCCATCAACAATCCCAGAGGTTGTATAAACCAAATTCAATTCGAGAAGAATCGCAATTATATCAGATCCTTCTCATGACGGTTTGGTCATTTGACCTACATGACTAGATGGGCAATCGCGCCCGTGATGGCCCTGCTGGGCGACGTGGTCCATCTGCACAACAATCTCGTGCACCCCAGTCTGGCAGTCAGCGTATGAACGGAAACCAAACTCAGCATCGCAACGATAAATCTTCTAAACCAATTCCTGCCTCTAAACAAAATCAGACTGCCAAAAAGGAACAGCAGGACGTTAAGACCTCTGATAATGAAAAAGCAGAAGCACCTGTTGTGAAAAGGTAAGCTCCTGGTGATTGTGAATAGTTTCTTCAAACTTCAGTAAGTCTCATTCTATCACCTGTCTTTGTGTGTACGGTGTTTCTTACGTACATACAGTATATTTTCTATAAAACGAACATTGTGCCCCTTTTCTAAACTGACTTTTTAAAAAGTATATATGTATATAAATATTCATATATATGTACATATGTCTGTATAGTATGTTATATTCATTCCCCATTATCAATGAAACTCATATTACAAATTTAAGTCAGTCATTTTGCTACAATTTCGTAATTACATGAAGAATGTACCCCATATATTCTTCTTTCTATACACATTATTCAATATTGATTGTTCATAATAGTAGGCAAATCGATATCTTCATTAGACATGAATGTCATGTCAAGTTTCTTTCTAGTTTTCATGTTATAAATTTTATGTACATGTGTTATGACTAAAACAACAAATGAAACAAACATAATATTTAGATCATCTTTAAAAAGAAAGTCCAACAAAGCTGATTAAAATTTGTCATAATCATGAAAAATTATGTATTTGTTTCTACATTAGTGAGAACAACGACGAATCTGAAGAGAAGAAACGTGACTGGAAGGACGAGAAGAAACAGTTGGAAAATTCTCAAACTGTTAAACAGTACGAGGGTGAAAAACCTCAAGAGGAAGCTGAACAAAAAACGGAAATTTCTGCTACTGAAGAGGGAGCAAAAGAAACAAATCTGGCTGGAACCGAAAAAGATGCAAAGATGACTGGCAAGAAATCTGAAGCTAGACACGCTGAAAGTCGTTATGCAGAAGTTCCAATGAGCCATATGTTTTGCCATATTTGTAATAAGCATATGTGGGATGGATATGTAAGTATTGTTTATAGTCGTGTGTGTAATATTTACTAAAATGTGTAATTAAGTAATTACTTTGTCTTTTAGTCCTTCGAAAACCATTTAAGGGGACGAGCACATCAATTGATGATGGAAAAATTAGACGAGATGTACAAATTGAAAGTTGATTTAATGAGGCACGAATTGAGAATAGCAGAAGAACAACGTGAATTTAGTTTAACCAATTCAAAACGTCGTGGGAAAAAAGTCAGTATACATAAATTCATTTTACGCTACTATGTAAAATACATCTTATTTATAATTACTATTACTATCATTAGGTATCCGTGGATCTAAATGTAAGAGAATACTGTACAATGTGCGATTTGAATTTTTATGGTACTTTATCAACACATAGAAAGAGCGAGAAACATCAACAATTGAAAACATTTTTGCATCCAAGATGTTTCCCCTGTCTAAAAGAATTCCCGTCGCGTATTGAATATGATGAACATTGTCTAACGCCTGCACACATGAAGAATGCTGTACAATGTGAAGAACAACGAAAGAACAAGAAGAAAGGTACGTGACAGAAATGTATAGTAGAAACTATAAAGTACAAAAGTCAAGGAAATTTATTTTCTAAATGTGTTTGTTTGCTTTTTATTTCTAGACAAACTTGCCAAAGGAGAAGCTGAAATACGCACTGCCGAAGATGAGGAAAAAGATGTAGGCGCTGAAAATAAAACTGAAAAAGAGGAAGAGGCTGTTGAGGAACAAGAATATATAACAGATATTAGTGAAAACATGACAGAGAAGAAGTTCAAAATACCATCTTACAAATATTGTCGACAGAATCAAATTTCTATTGGTAAATTTAATTGAAAGCATTTATAATATTTGTAAGCGTTACATCTATTAGTATATCGTTGCACATTACTACACATTATCCATATTATTTTAGGGAAATCTATGGTAAAAGAAGTTCAAGGATTTTATTGTGAAAAATGTCGAAGATTTATGCTCTTGGCGGAAGATATGAACGCTCATTTACGCAGTATCACCCATTATAGGAATTTTGTACAAGAAGTAAAGTCTTTGACGTCTACTAACGAAAATACTGAACAAAAGCCAGCGGAAAAAACAGAGGTATAGTTTTCTGAAAACAAAAGTTTCAGAATGAATATAATTTATAAAGATAATATATGAAAGCGTTATAAGACAATTGCTTCTTTTGTTTCAGGCTAATGAGAACGATACAGAAGATAATAAAGATGACGAAGAAAATTGTAAACGTCGTAAAACCGCACATTCCGAGGAGGAGGATAACGTAGAAATGAAAGAAGAGCAAGAAAATAATGCCGAGGATGCGAACACAAATGTGAATGCAAACGCGCAGAAGAAAGCTGACGGAGATGAAAAATATGACCCCCTCGAGGCTGATGCAGAATCCGAAGAAGAAGAGCATCGCGAAGGTGACAGTAACAGCCAACAAACTACGCAAAATGATTCTAGTACTCAAGACAAAAAGACGACACCAGTCGACAAAGCGTGGGCTGATATTGATAATGACAATGACGCAGAAATAGGTAACTTAATTGATGATGGGGACGAGAAAGAGCATATAAATGAGCCTGAAAAAACTAGAGATGCTCCAAAAATAGAGAGAGATCAAACTCCTCAAATAAAGCCAACTCGTGGTCGAGGAGGTTTCGCACGTGGTCGCGGTAGTCCGCGAGCACGAAGAGCTCGACGATAATAAGTATTATACTATAAAATTAAAGTAAGCTTGGATTTATTGGGTAAATATTACACTATTTATCCTGTTATTAGATTCCACCATTTCGTTTATTTTCGAATCATCAATAGTCAATATTATGAATCATACCTACATTATTACTTGCTTGTATTTACGTACGATAGAAATCATGATGAAAGTGATTACATTGTTGCGTCCGAACGTACTCGCGCGCGACATGGTTTTAATAAACAATAACTTTAACTATAACAACTTATTTACAAATATGTATAATATTACATACAATCATTGTAGAAACGATTTGCGGCACGTTCGTTCTCGATCATAATTTCACGAAGATCTTCCGTTCTTCATCCTTGTATAACATTACAGAACGACTTTTTGGATAACGCAACAATATTTTATCCAAGCTTACCAATTTAAAAGGATTTTAATTACGTAATATCACTTTCAATGAGTGTAGTACATAGATTTTTAAATAGAGAAGGTAGATTTGAAATTGAAAAAAAAGCAAGAAGCTATAATCTTCTGTAGCTTGTTACTATTCTATATCAGAAAATATGATTACTATTTAAACATTTGAAATATGTCAATGGTTTTTTAAACAATAATCATAACGTAAAGTCATAAGGTTCATTCCTATTAGGCACGTGTTAAAGTGACATGCGAAGTATCTTGCAATAAAAGTGAGAAATTAATATTATTTTTTTCAGTTTATGCCTAGTGTAATAAAATACTTATAATCAAAGTCTATATACAGTATATCATAACTACTTGATTGTGTTTATGATAACGCGCTGGAATTTTATTATAAGACTTGTATGTTTTACGTGAGAAAGAATGTATTATAAAAAATATGAAAAATGCAAATAGTTCGTCGATTGCCTTATAAAAATATCGAATTTTTTTTTCATAAAATAATTTGCACTTTACCTTTATACTGGGTATTATCTTTATATAATATCTTTACAGAAATCTATTTGTGTTAAGGTTATGATGATCTATTGTATCTTAATAATGCAGCTGTCATTACTTCTTTATACTAATTTAGGTCTTCACTGAAGTAATATAAAGAATAATGTTTGTTTATGAAAACAGTCGAATAATAAAAAATTGACACCGTATTTTTAAAAAAAAATCTAAAAGTTTTTTCATTCCAATATTCAATTTTTCTACATTGGTATTATAGAAAGTATTGAAATAAATAATGTGTTCCAAGTAATTGAATTGTATTTTATATCTTTCTAAAAAATGTGATAAGGCTTGAACTAATCAGATATATCAGGATTAATAAATGTAATAAAATTACTAAATTACCATAAATCACATAGAAAACATAATTATTTACATTTAAAGTACAGAATTTGATTAAATACAGACATATATATGATTACCATAAATAACATTAATCCATAGAAAGGTGAGTAGCTAGAAATTCATCAACTGAATCTGTATCCCATTTATGAATGTCCAAGATATCTTCAACTTTATTGTCATTGTCCAATAATTTAATTATTGGATCTAAACCTCTAACATATTTTATTTGTAAATTCTTATATTTACTTGGTCTATCACTTTTAATGAAAGCTGAAAATATAAGAATTTCAAACATACAGTACTAGATATAAAAATGATTATTGATTAATGCGTGTAAAACATGTATTCATTTACCCTGAATTTGAGGATAGGCTCCAAATTTACATGTGCACACTTCAAGAATAGCGTGTGGATAACGTTTTGATCCAGACGCATCATAGTCATCATCTTTCAAACAACATTCCTTGCACTTATCCCTAGAATGATTAAATAGTACTTCACTCAAAATAAATAGCGTTTATAATTTTTATTACTCACCTTATTTCTGATAATCCATGTTTATTAAATTCTTCACATGTAGAACAAAGTAAATTAGCTTTATTGAAGCCTAAACTTTTACAATCATCTGCTGAAAATTCTGAAGTTACAATATTCACCTAGAAGCACATCATCAGTTTTATACATTAATTGTAATTATAAAAGCAACACAATAGAGATTTCATGCTTGGTACATGTAGCAGAATTGAGAGGTTAAATAATAATTATTTTGACATTTACCGTTAGACAGAAGAAAAGTAGCTGTATCGGTATAAAAAAACTCATTGTGTTATTTGGTATATGCTGTATGCATCAAATGATTTAAGTACTTCTTTCAAAATTACAAAACAATCAGTACATCACATGTAAATACATTTCAAACGTTAATAGACACTGTAGGTTGTTCGCAAGACAACTCCCGGGACAGCACAGCAGTAAGAGGGGTCTCACACTATGTGTTTTCTTTACAGTTTCGATTGCTTACGTGTACATATTAACGAATAGACAATTAGTATCGAAAATGAGTTGAGAAAAGATGAAAGCTGACCAATTAGATCGCAGCCTACAGGACATATCAAAACGTGTGCTTTTTTACACGATCGGTATTTCAGGCTATCGGACACGAAGTCTCATAAGATGTCCAATCTATGTCTCTCATCAATAATTTTGCTTTCCTACTGTATCACCGGGATTTTTCACTCTGTTCTACCGGTAAAGCAGAAAATGACAATAATCTAGTACAACATTTTAGCAAAATTTTACGTCTTAATTTTTAAATTACCGAAAATCCTTTTCGTAAATGTCGCTTTTATGTAAAATAATTCGAATTTTAAGACTTAAACCAAATAAACACGGAAAGCTTTTATCAAAATTTTTTATATAATTTGTTGAGTTACCAGAAATCTGATTATCATTTCTATCGAAAAGGAATCTGTTTTCAAAATTTTTGTCAAATGAAAGCGTTGACATGATTGAAAGTTTAGTCGAGACTTCTATCAAAAATTTAACGGAAGAAGAAACCCCAACGAATTAAACGGGATCGGTGTGATCAAAGAGAAGTGTTCTTCGTTAATCGCGACCGCGTCAGCTTTTCAGAATTTTCGGTAATAAACGCGATTAACTCAGTTATGAACGATTACCCCCGTGTTTCGAAAGGGTATAAGGGACCCCGAATCCTCGACTTTTCGAAAATTTCCCATAATGACCGGGCAATCATGGCAATCATCCACCCGCACGTTTACGCAGCCCAGGTCCACCGGATTTGCCGGTCCCGTCCGGCCGATTCCATGAACCAGCGTTCTAGTTTACGAAACTTTAAATAAGACCACGGGCAGGGGATGCCGATTCGGCCTCATTACGAGCACCCACTCGCCCGGGGAACCGGCAATTTTGTACAGGAGAAATTTATGTATGGTCTGAGGAATTAACGCTGTGGATGAAACGCGTGCGTTCTCCACGAAGTTTTGAAAGCTGGTATTATCCGAGCGAAGGAGAGCTAATCGGCAATCAATAAGGTGCGGTGAATATGAAATAACGATAGGAAAAAAAAAAGGTTTGTAACCGTTTCCGATAGCTCTATCAGAATAAAGTTCTACATAATTTCTGTCGATTAACATGAAAAGTGAATATTCAAATTTATTCAATTCTACGTAGGGCTTTCACTGCCAAGCCAGCTCGCCGCTGAAAGTTAAAATAACAGCAAATTAAAGGATCTTCGACAAACGTCAAGCATACCTACAGAGAAGACGAAAACGGTATTGGACGCAAGGCAGTTTAACCAGGCGGACCCACCCACAAGTTTTCTCGGCGGCGATGGCACTCGTCGATTCGACGAACTCTCGGTCTGGGTACCAAATGGTCGGCCCGTCCGTGTTCAGCAAATATTCTCGAAATCCTGACCGCGGGCCAGGATTCCTAATTGCCGGTCGTCGCGCCAGTGGATACGGTGCGCGCTGCTCGCTCAGCGGTCCCCGAGGATAAAGACCGCTTCCTCCCTGTTCGGCACCACCTACGATCGGAATTCCATCCCCTGACAGCGGCGGCGGCAACGATACCAGAGCCGAACGAGTTGCGCAGACTTCAGGAATGCCCCCCGAGCTGCGACTGTTCCGCGGTAATGTTACGTTTTCGAGCGTGAGGTAGGGACACTCGTTCTCGGGCCACGTCGATTCGGACGATTCGGTACGAGGCTTCGGTTTTCGGAATGTTCTCGTCCGAATGGAGCAACAGAGAACAAAAACAGGAAGGAGAGAAAGAAGTGTTTACCGCTTTTTTTATCTCTTGATGGACAGCATCGATAGATCGGCGCTCGAGTATCCAGTGATCGCGAAATTGTTGTTTATTCGTCGATCCAATAATGATTTTGAAGAAATCGATTCATACAGAATATGCTTTACAATGAATCTAAAAGTATAGTTTCACTCAGTGATTCACTCTGTCACGAAGTAAAGGAATTCCCTTTATCGTGTCCTTATCAGCTTAATTTTGGTCTTTTCGGCTCGAAAGACAAAGTCGCAAACAGCAGCGCGAAATAATTGGCACGTGCCGCGAACGGTTCCGTCGCCGCGAACATTTTCAGGGAATCGTTCGCGAACTATGTGTTTTACGTTCGGCAGGTAATAACAATAATCAAGTTGGTCACGGTTCCGGGAAGAATCGTGCATTTCCGACCGCTTAATAGAGTCTCGCGATTAAAA